ATTAATGCTGTAACCCAAAATATTACAAAGAAAATACATCGCTTCCCTCTTCATTGTATTCGGAACAGAGGCGCAACCGAACCATGAATTGTGAGTTTAAGAATTATTTGCCTAAACATGTACATATTATACAGTAGGTTTGCGGGTGCACCATGTGAGAGAGAGAGAGAGAGAGAGAGAGAGGGTTGATGAGTCGCAAACCTACTGTATATCTACATCACCATGCAAGCCGACACTTACAAGCAGCATGTACATATTGTATATCATATTTTAATATGGCTCCAAATCATTCCTGCATCTTTAAAAACCAATGGAAATAACTTTCGATATCACCCCAAAATAGGATTCGTTTCTTCATCAGCAATAATGTCAGTCCTGGCGACACCTCGATTGAGATGGTTAGTATGACGCCGAGGAATAGCCGTACGAATTGGAATCCCTGGAGCCGGGCATCGTACGACGTCGTCGGCGAATTCTTCTATTCTGCTACTTGTCAAAGCCTGTTCAGCATCAAGACAAGGACAATTTAATTACATTTAAGGTGAATGGAAATTGTCACAAAGCAATAAAATGGCTCTACATTCCATTTCAGACAGTTAAGTGTTGACAGATTTTTATAGCCTGTTTTATGTATTTTTCTCATGGAAAAATGGTTGGGAAATTTCAAAAATGGTTGGGAGAATTTACTGTTAATCACTGTTAGAGGGTGCCTCACATCGACGCCTTCAAAGAAAACCATAGATATCTTTGTGGTTTGAGAATTTGTTCAGGATTTTTTGCATGTCAGAGGGTTAGTATAGTAGAAGGAATATAGTAAGTAACATTTTATACAAAAATTAAGCAATTTTTTTCATCAACCTTCAACAATATTACCGAGTCACTTTCACCCATTGTCATTAATTCAAGATTGACGTCCGATCTTTTCCTTCATTCATCCACCTCTGTCCTCTCCTTATCTGTATTAATCCCACTCTCCCTCTCTGGTTATCAACACAGATGTTCCGCCTATCACCAGCACGACTGCAAAACCCCTGTCATGCGTTGCCTGGCAACAAACTTTCAACGAATCGTGTGAGCGGCCGAGCTCCTCGGCCCAATGCGAGTACGTACCTCAATGCCAAGCCGACGGTTCTCAGTGGGCTAGCATCCAGTGTACGGTAGATCGACAGACCTGCTGGTGTGTAGACCAGGACGATGGAAGGACTGTACCAGGAACTTTCGCTGAAGTAGATGTCTTAATCGAAGGAGACATTCCGGATTGTCTATGATCATACATGAGTCCTTCTAGACCAAGTACCTGTCCCGAAGTAATTAGCCCAAATGATTTAACCCAGCAGGCCTACAGTTGTATTTATTCTAAAACAGTTGTTAGGTATCCCAGCCGTATAACAGTCAGGTTTATCCCTTTAGAGCACCCCCCCCCCCCTCAAAAAAAAATAAAATAAAAATAAATCAGATCGATTTTAAGATCAAGGACCAAACTTTCTCAAAATAAAGTAATTTAAATGTACATTGCAAAAACATGAAAAAGAAATGACTAAAAGTTCTGTTGGAAAGCAGTAGCCATAGATCTAAGACAGGTTAATTTTCAACCAAATGTACACCCTGGCCAAACTCCCCGACTACTTTCTTTCCTACCCCTTTCTCCCCTTCAATCCATTATGACGTACATGTCCCTTCTCATCTCGTATAGTCTCATCTACTCTCCTCCCAAACTCTCTCATTTCTATTTCTCCTGATTCTTGACTACATGTTAAAAAGACAAACGGTTAATAAAAAGTCACTGTCAAACCAGCTTAAAAGTTTCTTCCATTTTTATTACAATGAAAAGTGTGTTACAGCAACATAGCTGTATAAACCATTGCATTAACTTGGTGCATCCTTCATAAATATTCATCAATGTCTAGTTAAAAAACAAACAAATATTTCTTCTTCTCACAAAATAGCATTTTCTCAGTGCAAAATATTCACACCTACATTGTGCATGTTATTTTACATACAAAGTGTGACCATGATTTACAAGCTGACTGATACGATTTACCTGCTATTCATTTTTGTTGGAAACCATCTAATTACAAAGATTTTGAAATTGAAAATCGAGATAAAATGTATGCATGTTCTTCATTATAAATTAAAACACATATCAGTGGCAATGTTGTCAAGTGAGATCATATTTGTAAAAGTGTCTAAACAAATATTTTAGTGAATGTATAGAACAGTTGCAGTGGAAGTAGATTAAGTAGCTAGCTTGACAAGATTAAAGAAAGGAAGACAAAAGACAGGGAACTGATGAAGGGAAAAAGAAATAATATTACGACATACACAAATGTGAAACAGATGGTTAAGAGGACAAGAAAATGAAGGAATAGAAAAAGAAACAAGAGAATATCAACAAGGAGATGAATGAAATGGAAAGGAAGGATAAACAAGAAGAATGAACTAAATCTTAATTAAAAAGCGAAGAGAGAGTGAAGAGAGAGAGAAGGAGAAAAAAGAGAGAGAGGACAAAGAGAGAGAGAGAGAGAGAGAGATAGAGAAATAGAGAAAAAGAGAAGGGGGAGGGGGAGAGGGAGAGGGCCCAAATGTCTGACTACTTCTTCTCCCTTGCAGTCATTCATTCTCAAACAAGTTATTCTGAAAATATCCATAGCAGAAAAATGGTATCACTGATCAAGATGTACATAAAAACAGTATTATGTGATGCAAACAAAATTGGTCTTTTTACTTGGATCAGTTGTTTTAAAGAGTTTGTTACCAAGTTTGTTGAGGTAAGTATGCAAATAAATTATTAAAAAACATTTATGTAACCTGAAGTTTTAGTTTCAACTAAACAAGAATAAAATGACAAAACTAAATATTCACAAAACATCATATTTTCCCCAATACAACTGATATCTAAACGATATATGGGTAGAAAACAAGCCTGATACAAACTAAATTGTAACTAAATGAATACGATACAGACAAAAATAAAATGCATGATGCATGACAAGGAAAATATATTCCTATGAAAGCGATACATAAATATATATAAAATTATTTTATAAACATAAAACTAAATGGTAGCAATATAGTTCAACATACAGTAAACTAAATAGGTGGGTACATACATAAGCTAAAATACATAAACTAAAACACATACGGTAACATAGCACACTTTTTTAGTAGTCCACTAGAGAAAAGCACTGTTTTGGTAGATCTAAATCTGTCCCTGACAATAAATAGTACTATGGCTTTTTAAAAATAATCATGTCGTACATGAAGTACTCTAACCTTTACAACTGAATGGTAATATGATCGTTAGTAATTGCATTATTTTGTGAAAGTTTATCAACCTTACATCCAACATCAATGTAGCTTCGGCACATCCTGAAATACCCATTACGTATATTTTAAAGGGTCAACAGTTGTTTTAGATTCTCGCTTTCCTTTATCAATAATATACTTTATGTACTATGAAGATAACATCAAAATGAGCATATTAGTATATTAACAGACTATTTGATCAAGAAATAGTACATGGCACATCATGAAATGCTAATGTTGAGTACAAATATTTTAAAGTGTTGTCAATTGCTCATGTGTATCTTTACTATGGATTCTGTCGTTCTTTCAACTATAATATGTAATGGTAATAACTAATAACAATAATAAATAGCACATTGTGAGCATAATATACTAACAAACTTTTGAGTTGATATTATGCAGTTATGTGACCGTTATTTTCTTATAGGCCAGTTCATAGATACAATCATTGCAGAAAATAAATATATACCTAACTGTAGATTAACTACTGAAGAAAGCAAGGAGCAAGGAGAGCATAAATACAGCACACTTTGTAAGGTCTAATAGTGATAGAACTGTGTCAAAAAGTTATCCACGCCATCTTTATTTTTTTCATGCAGGTATTAAGCTGCTTTAGAAAGAAGGCTAGGCCTACTGTTCTGAATCTGCAAAGTTTTTTTTTTGTTCAAATCTGAGCCTGAGCATCTGCAGAATGACTTTAGATTTAAAGGTAAAGACCAGTTTTGGAAATGCCTCCCTCTCAAAATATGAAATGGAAGCTCTTATTACCAATCATGTGAAAGAATATGATTTGACTAATACGAGTTGATACAAATTTACCCGGGAAACTGCCTACTAATTGATATATTTGGTAAATTATTATATCCATCCCGTCCGGATAGATATAATAATTTATCGCGTAGTCCCATATACATTTTTCTGTGTACAATGCTTGTAACTTTACCAAGACTGGGCCAAATATCTTATCATTTTGATGATTCCAGAACCTTGCAATACACACCAATACTTATATGCTAGATGATCAACCTTTTCTGATCAATTCCACGTTTCTTTCACAATGCAATCGCATGACCAGAACTCAACTTTATCTTTAAATGTTGTTAAAACCACTTTGGTGAAATCAAGCTTACTGTACAGTGATTAATATCAAAACATTAAATCAATTCTCAAATTATCATGATCACATGACCCTTTCACATCCAGCGTGCATGCACATCAATAAAGATACATGAATTACACATCACAAACTATGGTGGTCTCGATGAGAAAACACGAATTATTGCAATGAATTTCATGTCGATACAAACATCCCAAAATAAACCAAGTGCATAACATCACGGTCCTTCCTGTCTCGTGGTGCAAAAATTGGAAATGGGATCAAATTGCAGTAACTCTTTTCTTAACAGTACATACAAAGATAAAATGGTGAAGAATTCAATTCAGCAAAGTTTGAAATATGAAATGACCTTTTGTAGACTAGGGCTCTGTCTGCCAAAACAATCACATATACTACTCTTCAGGTAGACAACACAGTCTTGAGTTGATGTTTACAGTAATTTACTTTTTTGTGCAAACACAAAATAATGTTACGCCATAGTAAACACACTTTTATATTGGATATTACAAAATACAATGAAAAAATGTCATACTAACTTATCTGAGTGCATAATAAAATTCTATGACTATGTACAACATCCAAAATATATAAATATACATCAGAATCAGTCAATAAATTTGAAAGAGGTTTCTTCAAAATCCACTAATTTTTTATATCTTATTTCTTAACATTTCAATTAAGACTTCAATGTAAATTTGGAGTTCAAAAAGAAAAACCAACACAAATACTTGTAGCACTTCTTTTTAATTCCCATGAATTCTAAAATAATAAACATTGGAAACATATATTTGATATCGTTTTTTCAAAATAAAGCTTCAAAAGTTTTTAGTTGGCTTACATATTAATGGCTTAAGTAGACCAGTAAGTAGATCAAGTATATTTAAATCTATCATTATCTCCAATTCAAAGTCAGTCCTTCCTATATATTATATCATTTAATAACAGTTCTCCCTGTCCACATGTGGGCATTAAATATCTGTAATTTTTGCATGCTGTTTTTCCAAAGATTTATAATTCTGAAGGTATGTATTTCTGAAAATTAAAAAAAAAAATTCAAAAGGTTTATAGTTCTGAAAATGACATAGAACCCTGCAATATTTGTCATGTCGTTGGAAGAACAAACCCTATTTCATTATCAGAATAATGATCCTATTTCACTTTCCGAATTATCAAGTTTGGGGTAAGCGACCCTTCAGAAAAATGGAACCAATATTCAGAATTATGAACAGTACTTCATTTTTGGAATTACATACCGGTACCTTCTGAATAATGAACCCTATTTCACTTTCGGAATTCAAAATAACACAATAAATGATCGGAATTATCAACCCCATGATATGGAAAATGTGTGTTTTTCAGAACTATGAACCTTCCGGGTAAAAAAAAGAGTGCCTCCCGTCATTGAAAAGCAAAGAAAACTGTACACTGTATACAGGTAAAATATTATTTCAAGGCCAACACTGCTCTTGATCTCATCCATAAAATATATACACTCATATCAAAGCTCTCTTCAATAAAGGCTAACAAATTATTGTCTCACAAATTACAATAGTTAGACATGATCATATCATTCTCATATTTCAAAGTAAAACAAGTTATGTTTTCTAGAGAGGGGGGGGGGGGGGGGTGGAAATGCTTACAGCCGGTATTTCATGATTCCTCAGTTACGCAAAATATTTCAAAAGTAAATTAAGTACAGTTATCTATGAACGAAATAGAAAAGATGAATACTGCTTAGTATATAAATGGAATACTGCTTTTAACATGTCCGGTGAATTCTTGCTCTGTAAATGACCAAGAAGTTCAATGATTTTACCCTTTATAATTTTATTACTACAAAAGTAATAATCATTTTCTAATAAGAAATGGCGATTTTTGAATACGAGCATTATTTTAGAAGAAAGGACTCTGGGGATTGTGTGACTGATGAAATTTGACCTCTCAACTAAAATTGTCTGTTTTCATCATTTCAAGTCATCCTAACTAAAATTAACGTCAGAAAATGATAACAATTTTCACCATCTTTCAGACAGATGCAGCATGTAATCCCTATACCAGCCTCAATATAGCAAATTCATCAGTGCTTTAATAGGCAATTTTCGTAATCTCATCGAATTTGTTTACCGTCTAGTACCTCGTTGCAAACTATTTCATCCACCTGTTACAAATTACTAAATTTCCATTGTCAGAATGCAAATTGCGAACAGTACATGTTGCTAGGTAGGGCAATCCATGATACTTGTCTGACCTAGCAATAACTGATGTATACAATTTGGACTGTTACTATAGAGATACAATAATAAATACAGGTGAATGAAATAGCTTGTTGCTAGGTAAATTTTAATAAATTTGAAAGGACTTTGAAAATGGTCTATTCAATCCGCAATGTGGGATATCATAAAGCATTTTGCTAGTACATGTAGCACACAGTTGTAGCTGAAATTGTTTAATCCTAAAACAGCACTGGTCGTTGTTTCAGCTGACTTTTTACATACTCTGAGATCTTTCATATTTAATTTCGCACACTAGTTTGCATGAAATTGCAAAATGAGAAATGTTCACATGGTTTAATACCCGACATATCATGAGACTTAGGTCGGTATGAAGCACTGCGAGTTGGAACTACTAACAACTAAGTAACTAGCATATAAAAGGCTGACATAAAAATTCAGCTGGCACACATTTTTGAGTTGTGCTTTTTTGAGGTAAAAGTAAAATAAACAAGAATATTGTGCCCGAAGTAGGAATAGTAAAATGCCATGAAGTCATATTTTTTACAAATAAACTAAATAATTTATATTGTCAGTGTTAATTCTATTCAAGACCAATTGAGAGAGGGGTAGAAATACTGGAAAGGATAGGATAGAAAAAAAAGATGGAAACAAAGAGGAGAGAAAGAGAGAACAAGGGAGAGAAGAAGAAGAAGAGAGAAAACATTACATCTTCAAAAGTACGAATCACATAATAACATTTTCATAATTTGATTCTGTGTTCCCTTTCAAACTGTCATGAGTCGCATGGGAGCTGAGTTGTACTGCGGAGGAATTTGGGGTCTATGGCAGCAAGTTTACTTGCTAGGAAGGCATGCATACAATGAAGAAGTTTGCGAAGGTTCGGGCACTCCAGCTCCTGTAAGGGAAAACAAAGGACCAAACAATTAGTTTCCATGATTAATATGTTTTGGCACAGTTATATGAATATTCTTTTTTGTTTCACTGGTATTTAGCTATTTTTTTTTTCACGTAAAAAGCTATAGCTTGTTTGTAAATAAGCTGTTTTCATGTGTCACATCTAAAAAAGTTACTTTGTCTGCATATATGACGATTACACTTACAAGATCCTCTCCATATCTATTGCAAATGGTTCAACAATAACTGCTGGGAGGGTGAAAGACATTTATTTCTTACTACTTCATGAATTCAGCAGACTAAAACCATTGCACAAAGTAAGCTTTTCACATATTTGGGCAGGACTATATTAGAACGGATATAACTTCCAAAATATTACATTTTAGAATGATACACCAAGTACACTATTGGGAGTAACAGCTTTCATATTTCCAAATTGACTGACCATCTCATGAAATGACAGAATCAAATGGAACTAATTTTTTTTTAATCCCCAACAAAAGATTGCCTCAAAATTTATCAACTCATTAAACATATATTATACTGCAAGAGCTACAATGGTGACTTGGAATGTGTTACTAAATACAAACCAAGATGGTGAATTAAAGTTTTAAAGACCGTCAATACTACTGGGCCAGAAGGGATTAGACCACACAGCGAGGTCACTGACAGGAGGCTATAAACTCAGCTCTCAACCAACATAAGAAAAAGAGGATCATGGGGGACCAACAGGCACCGATTGGGGAAGTTTTCTATATAGAGGGGGAGCAAGTAGCTACAAGTAGGACAGTGGGGCTTTAAGAAAAATGAATGAAAGACATATACCTGCATCTCCAGCTGACCTGAGTTGGCATTTGTGAATTGGAGTTTGACTTTTGCGTTGCCGTCATCTGAGGAATTCTTGAGTTGTGAGAAACGGTATCTCCATAACAGAGCCTGAATTAAATAAAATTATTAAGATCAATTATAAAATCTTTATGCAAGTTTATACATATAATAATTTTCTAAGATTGGTAGACTGCCTATTCCCCCCTTTTTTCTAGCACTAAGAAAAACTACCCCCTACCTAAGCTTTAGTTCAGGGAAAATTGTCCTAGGAAAACTTTACTAATGGGTAGTTGTTGGCATTTTTTTTAATGATGTGACATCTATACTTACTACCATATATCTATATTCATGTCATTTTCATAATCATTTGACTTCACCATCATTATCACAGGTGTCAGTTGTGTAGCTTGCTCTATCTTCACAGTTAAAACCATCACTATAATTAATGTGGTTCACAGTATCTAAGAATAATAAATATGAAGGAAAAAAATAAAAACATTTCTGATCATTCCCACTATAAATGACAGGTACAATGCATAACACTATACATTATTTTTATGACCTGTGACCTCATTTACCTTGTTGTGTGCATCGAACAGCGTGAAACCAGTATCTAGGTCAAGGGTCAAACCAACAACCCTTTTCCTCCATGTACATCCATATGTCTTGGTCTGTTGGCAAGAAATAGTCAAACAAATAATCTTTAGAGTAAACAAAACATTCAGAGCTCACAGTTATATCTAACTGAATAGAAGTGTATATCAGAAATAGTACCAATTAGAAATATATAAACTTACTACATTGAAATAAAGTATGACAATGTGCAGTACCTAGAAACTGACTTGATCTTCAGCTGTTAATCTATTGTTTTAAAATCAACTCTTTATATTTCTTGTTGAGGGATTAATTAATTAAACTCACTCCTCCAACAATCTTTGAGATACCTATTGGCATATAGATAATGCCAGTAATAATACAGCATTTTCTTCTATCAGAAAATGGATAAAATATATTTAAACAACGATACAAAGAAGTTTTCCATGCTTGTAACTTATTCATTCAGTCATTGTGCTTGAGAATGGAGACAGACTGAACTCTTTCGTCTTCCACTTTCACCTTGCGCTCTTAAATGTTACAGATTTATGAGTGTGTTTGATATTCCCAAATAACCAATCAAACCAAGCAAGCATAATCCATCTGGCGACAGCTTAGTGATCAGAAAAATAACTTGAATTAAAACTTACACAAAGTTTGCTGACTGATGCATGAGTTGCTCTGAGGACTGCGCTCTGCCAGACGTTTAACTCACTCCTGTTCTCGACACTGAGATAATGACAGTCCTCTGCCCCGGACTGAAGGAGGAAGCAATGGGCGCGGTCGTCTTGAAGCTCAGAATCCTGGGTAAAATAATTGGTGGTTGATGGGTATATAAACATTCAAAGACTCATCTTCTGCACCTGTCTCTTGGATCATATTAAAGGTATAGACCAGTTTTGAAAATGCCCCCCCCCCCCATCTCAAAAAATGAAATGGAAGCTCTTATTACCAATTATGTAAAAGAATATGCTTTGACTAATACGTGATGATACAAATTTTGCCGGGAAATGGCCTACTAATTAAGATATTTGGTAAATTATTATTATTATTATCTATCCGGACTGGATAGATATCGCGTAGTCCCATATACATCTTTCTGTGTAAAGTGCTTGTAACTTTACCAAGACTGGGCAAAATTTCTTATAACTTTGATGATTCCAGAACCTTGCAGTACACACCAATACTTTAATATATGCTAGATGATCAACCTTTTCTGATCGATTCCACAATGTTTCTTTCACAATGCATTCACATGACCAGAACTGGTCTATACCTTTAAGCTTCAACACTCTTTATACTTTTTTCCTTCTTTATCCATCTTATTGAACACATAATTGTACATTAGTGCCACTGCTTTGTTCTTACCCCTTTCCCTTCTCCATCTCCCTCTCCTTTGAATATCATTGTAAATTTACAAGCATCGTGTCACTTGGCTTATATTTATATGAACCTGATGTACTTTTCAAAAGAGTTAGAGATGTTTAAATTGAATTTGAATATGTTTGTTCAGGTTATTTAATGGATGCATGACTATCAAAGACCTGTTCACATCAGCATACATGTATTAGCACAATGTCATACTCTCATAGCCAGTCTTTGATATCAAAGACCTGTTCACATCAGCATACATGTATTAACACAATGTCATAATCTCATAGCCAGTCTTTGATATCAAAGACCTGTTTACATCAGGATGCATACATTAATTAGAGGATGCCATACCTTGAATATTCTTGAGACAGTTTCAAAGAGCTTGTAACTTCTTTCACACCTAATCCAGTCCCTTGGGTTCACCTGTACAAACACAAAGAAAACATTAATTTTGAGTGTTTTGTAGATATGTCACTGGCCCCCAAAAGACCAGGACTGGGTTGAATCTCATCCAGGAATTAACAGCAGGATGTGACGCTACTACTCTACAGAGTTCCTGATGTGAAATAGTCGTACAGCATGCATGCATAAATGATACACATCAAGATATCTTATTCAAGTCAAACATGGATCTACTGGGTAATATCAAAGTTATAAGGCTTAGAGGTTGTAAATAAAAAATGAATGCCATAGCCAGCACTAATAACTATTGGCGAGAGGTCAATCTACATTTGCTACTCTCCATCCAGGTGTCCATGGGTACCTGAAACCCTTACGCACTTGTTACTTTGGCACCTCGGCTATTACCAGGGTAATAATGTCTAAGCGCTATGAGTATCACAGTGTAAAAGACATTGAATGCTGTATACAAAGCTATTATGATGAAAGTAACAGTCAAACAATTATTCCTTTAGACAAAAACTAGTGGTGAATTATAGAGGTTCAGTGCACTTACAGGAGGTGATTCAAAGATGAGGGCATCAGCTCCTCTTATTGCCAAGAATTTAGGCTTCCATATGTTATGATGTGAGTTGCTTGCGAGTCTCTCTTCCACCCAGCCAAAGTGCATGATCTGCCAGACAGAGGTGAAAATGATAGAGAATTACAGAAAGTGGTAGAGAGAAAAAGAGAGAGAGAGAGGGAGAGGAGAGTGAAAGAGAGAGAGGGAGAGAGAGAGCAAAAGAGAGAAAGAAAAAATAGAGGATGTGAATGATAAAGAGGAATATGAATATAAGAGAGGAGGGAGAAAAAATGATAGCACATTTCACCTCTAGTTTACTTCTTCTTTATCAAGAAGATTTTTTTAGTTTTTCAAGCTCATGTAGTACACCACTGTTTCAGACACAAGCATAATTTCAGACGATAACAGCGTATAAAGGAGCAGGATTGCAAATGAAATTCCACAGATTTAAGACTTACTTGGTCTACAGGAGGTAAAAGATCATTAGACAGCTTCATCTAAAGGAGATAAATAGGAAGGGAAAAGGAAAGAAAAAATGAAAACATCATAAATGAGAGCTCACTTTACATTTTATCATCAGCAATTGAATAGGAGCAATCCAATTAAAGAGTGACTGAGAGACCAAATGCAAAAAAAAAAAAATTCTTCTGTACAGCCATAAACTTTACATACATTAGCATTTTGGTGCCCAGAAATAGTGCAAGGATTATGAATGATGAAAAAATGTTTTTAAAAAATCATTCCAATAATAGCATTACAAATTCTGATTTTCATTGTTCTTATATGTCTATTATCTTATTAATATGCACTTGCTTTGGATTTAAAAGAAGCGCTCTCCCATTCAAATTAAGTTAAAATTTGTTGTACAATTTCAAATGTGAAGACAAAAAGTAGGCACTACAGACAGTTTGCTTTCATAGAGAGATGGCCATTGTAGCAGGTTTATCTGATATTTCAATACTCACTGACTGGGCGTTTAGAGTTGCTACACTTGAGTTGATGACCTTGAGCCAATCAATGAGCTCTGTTGAACTTTGACAGAGAAGTTTTCCCGACGATGTCCCGTCCACACCTACCACCTCGAACGTATTCGGCCTGTACATGTGAAATGGGGGCAATGATCGTTTTTATGTGATAGGACATATTTTCAAAAAGACTATCCTTTTCTACTCTGCCATATTCATCAAGATATTTTGTTAACACCTGGGCAGGCTTTGCTGAAAAAGTACTGAGTAACCACAAACTGATGTTATCAGAAGAAAAATATGAACTGAGGCTGAAAATTATAGGGCTTATCTTTAGAGGATAAGGACTTATTTTTGAAGGATTATAGTACAACGGTAAAGACATAATCAGGGCCCTGTCCAAAAAGTAACTGACTGATTAAACTGGCAGACGATTTCTTTTCGACCTATCACCACTATGACTATCCTCCTCCTCCATTCCCCCCATTCCTCCGCCATTCCACCTCTATTCCTCCCATTCCTCCTCTATTCCTCCCCATTCCTACTCCATTCCTCCCCCATTCCTCCTCTATTCCTCCCCCGTTCCTCCTCTATTCCTCCCCATTCCTACTCCATTCCTCCCCCATTCCTCCTCTATTCCTCCCCCGTTCCTCCTCCATTCCTTCCCCATTCCTCCCCATTCCTTCTCCATTCCACCCCCGTTCCTCCTCCATTCCTCCTCTATTCCTCCCCCATTCCACCTATATTCCTCCCCATTCCTCCTCTATTCTTCCCCATTCCTCCCCCATTCCTCCTCCTCCTGCATTCCTCCCCATTTCCCCTCCATTCCTCCTTCTTCACTTAATTCTGACACAATAACTTCTGAAAGGAAAAGTAATGGAACAAATCCAATCCCTCAATCTTTATCTCCTCTCAACTTGAAGGCCAACTCACCTGATCTTATCAGAGCCATTCGCATATCTTGTGACCCTGGCCATGAGTAAGGATATTGAGAGCATATCGACCCATCTCATCTGCATCTTCGGCTGAGGTTGCGGAGATTGATTGTGAACGGTTGCCGTCGTTGATGATGCATTTCTTGTCTGGAAAAGTAACAACAATTACATGTTTAGTGAAACTGTTGTACAGCATGCAGAATTTCCATTCTTATGACTAGAGAAAATTCAAATGGAAAATAGTAAGGTCTTTGTAGGCTAACAATCCATGTACAAATGAGAATAGAAAAAAAACACTGAAATCAATGCATGGCAGAATTTTGAGTTTGAAATATATAACAGTTTGACATCTGTGACATGAAAATAAGTAACACCTAGAAAATTGACTTGATTGAAGCTTTTAGTTGCATTTGTGGAGTTTAAACATGTCAAGGCACAAGCAAAATATTTTGTCAGCTACTAATCAAATTAATGAAAAGAACTGACAAAAGCAGAGAACCATTAAGAATTTGACCCACCTGCCAGCCTTCACCTCCATTTGTTAAATTGTTCTCTGTTGTGTTGTTATTTTCAGGAGACTTCCCCCTGTCTGCTAGCTTAGCTGAGAGATACAAGAGAGAATGAGAAAGAGAGAAATAGAAAGAGAGAGAGAGAGAGAGAGAGGGGGGGGAGGTGGGGGAGAGACAAAGAGAGGCAGACACAGATAGAGTCAGAGAGAGGGAAAATGTAGAGGGATAAAACAGGCAAATAGAAAGATACATTATAATTTTTGTGTCACTTATTAGCTATAATTGGACAGAAAATTGTTTTTAATTATTTTTTAACAATGCATTTATCATCGCTCGAGAACTTTTACTGAACACAGTGAAGTATTGATGATTCGTTTTTGGATTAAGAAGCCCATGGAAGTTGAAGCAACTTCTTCAAAACTGATTTTTAAAGAGAATCCAGAGGAAAAAATGGTTGATCTCTCTAGAAAGAACACTATTTTGTAATATAGTTTTGTTGGATGAAAGTATATTGAATTTTTACTTTTATGTGTAACAAAAGAAGATATTATGTGTATATTTTCCATATGAAATACACTCTGGTTTTACATCCTTATGTTGATACAATGAACCTTTTTTTTTTATCTTAAGAATCACATTGACCTAATTTGTGATTTGTTTTCAAGCTTGCAAAATGAATGACGAGTGTTTATATGAAGCAATGACTAGACAAGATGAATGACCTTTCTGGGTTTTTTACCTGCTTGTTTGAGGTATGGTGTAGCTGCTCTGAAATGTCTGACAGTCAGTTCAACTTCATTCCCAGCATTCTTCAGTGCTATTACCTGCAGGAAATAGAAATAGAAATCTAAGTCCAAAACTGGTATATTTCAGTTATCTATCATCGATGGCTTTTTGTGACAGTCCATCTTAGTACTAGAGGTAACCTTGGAAATCAAATTTGTTTAGCACTAGGCCTAAATGCCACAAAGGTCCATCTCAAAACCATGAAAAACTGATAAGGCTTGAAAAAAATAGATGGCGCTATTTACAAATTTATTTACTATTGATTGCACACAATTTCAACTTCATGGATTGACTTTAAAATGTGTAAATAGTTGCAAATATATCTTATTAGAATAAACTAAGCCATGAGAGTAGATGTGAGTGTGTTGAGACTGAAAACAAGCCATTTTCAATCTCAAGATATTGTTTAACACTCAAATTCTTCGGTAAGATTTGCCAACTAGAGCATAGAAGGGGTTAAATAAAAAAATTAAAAACTTTTGCATGCATTCCAATACGGTACATGCCAAGAAAACTGAAAGCTTAAAGATGCATAGTAGTCGGCTCTCATGGGGAATTTGACACCGCTCAGGTGTTTAATCACCAGGATTAGCCTTCAGTTTTATGACCAAAATGCCTTATGTAATGCTTTGTATTTCGTCATCCACTCCTCCACAAGGTAAAGTCATTATCTCACTTTTCCCTCAACCAAAGACTGTTCGAGAGACAAAAGGGTATTCCTTGATGGACCTACGGGTTCGCTGTGTGCAGACTTTTAAACACATTAATTGTATTCCCACTAAGTCTGGTGTCAGTGAATTATGGCCTTCTGCACATGGAAACTGACGACCGACTCCCTCTAACAACACATCAATCTAAATCAACTGCTATCATTGCACAGCTAGCATTCATGATTCTAATGTGCCAGATTCTTGTCTGCTATCAGGCACACTCGATTGCCTTTATATATGGCTTCATTCTTATAGTGCTTTTACTACTTCCAGCACACAGGAATACAGACAATGGTATAGAAAATGTCAAGGACAGTGCACACATCTTATAGAGTAAAGACAATGTGATGTTCCCATAACTGCTTTATCTTGGTTTTGCGTTACCAAAATGTTGTGCACAACCTCACTTCATTACGGTCCCCCTGTACTATACTTTTCAGGTGCTAGTATTGTGTGCAGGGAGATTGCACATTTGAGGAACACAGCATCATTGTCTTGATGTACTACTTTAAGTTGTTTTGCCTTCTTTTTTTATGGTAGTCAGCTCCTTAACTGATTACTAGCACATTACCGGTAGTTCATATGAATCACAACAAGGGTGTCCCAATGGTAAAATTTTGGTGATTGTCTCCTTGTACGTAACCTTTTTATTTGTAATATTAATATGTCTACTCCTCTCGTTGATTATCATGAATTCAACTGAACACCGAAAACACAGTGCTTGGGCAAGTGGAACACACATCTCATAGACATGTGCACAATATTCTAGTCACAATTTTCTGTGTACATACAGGACATAATGTGCATCTTTTATTCTATGTTTACCGAGCAGCCTCTTCACGGGCTTTACACAATCGATCATGTTCAAAAGCAGTTCAAGGCAAATTCTGACCAATTCCGAGGCTGCAATAATGTGAACAGACTTACATTGAATCAACCTCATGCAGTATGCAATTTCCTCTCTCAAATTTTACAAATCTATTGAAAGGAAAGCAGCGGTTGTCTTCAAATGAAGAGGCATCTGTATTCTTTGTTCATCCATACTACATAATTCAATTCTACCATCCCTACTCACTCACTTACTCACTCAGAGCACAGACTAAATAAAAGCACACTTATCATCAAGACAGGAATATTACAACAGAAGAACATACTCTCTGGACTATAGGCATTATTTGATTAAAGAAAGTACCACAAAAAGTGGCGTGTGCTGTGATTCAACTTACTATGAATGTCTTATTGAACAGAATTCTACTAATTCAAGGCATAGTAACATTTGGGAATAAATCAAACTTGGGGAAATATAAAGCTTCTCCTTTTTCAATAAAATAATTTTATTTATAAAATCAAAGCTTTCCTATCTCATCTTTCTGAAGAAAAAATTAATCCATTGTTGCAATGAATTGTATGTTGAGTGCTAGAAAGGCAATAACTCTGTGGCAGAGGGGAGGGTTACTGCCCTTCTGTCTCTCAAAAGATGAAATATGAACTTACTGCTTCATCATGAGTTGCCCTTTCTATTGACATTCCATTGACCTGTATGAATGGAAGATGAAAGAAAGGAAGAAAAAGAAGATGAAGAAGAAGAAGGAGAAGAAGGAGAAAAAGAAGAAGAAGAAGAAGATGAAGAAGAAGAAGTAGTAGTAGTGTTAGTAGAAGAAGAAGAAGAAGAAGAAGAAGAAGACAAAAAAGAAAAAGAAGAAAAAGAAGAAGAAAAAGAAGAAGGAGGAGGAGGAGGAGGAGGAGAAGGAGGAGAGGGAGAGGAGAGGGAGAGGGGAGGGAGGAGAAGGGAGAGGAGAGGGAGAAGGGAAAAGAAAATGAAGCAGAGGATCAAGAATGATAATCACATCAATCACAAATTCACTTTTGGCTTAAGTCTTCTCAGAACTAAAGATTTAAACATATAATTCCTATTCATATGGCAATTACACCATAACCCATGAAGACACACCTTTATTTCAAACATTCCTCTTCACAGAACCACACACAATAGTTTTGTCCTTGCTAAACAAGTTTCATTTAAAATATGTCCATGAATTAAATGCCTTGGGTAGTAATATCTCTAAATTTCCTTGCGTCTTTATAATTATCGCTAAGTGCTATAAAATTCAGAACCTTTTGCCATCATTAGATGATTAGAGGAAATCCTTCAAGCGATCCTTGAAATATACTTCTGAAGTACTTGTATTGTGACAAAAAAATTTCTTTTCCAAAACAGGAAATTTATTTCTGATTTATCTTATGGTGCGGATATTTATTCCTTCAGGACTTTCCACATCAAACTACATTCTAAAATGATAATTTTATTAAGATTTTCATCACACTTGTCCATTCTTTGCGACGCTGGAACTTCTCTTACAACAACTAAACTAAACTACTAAAACATAGGAAAGCACTCATTTTAATAAAATTCTCTTTCCCTTTTCTAGGAGGCACAAAGACTGGTTAATATCCCATCTTCACATCATGTCTTACTCTTACCTTTAAGATTGCATCACCGACATATAGTTCACCAGTCTGATCAGCTGAAATGGACAAAAGGCACAAATGTATTTCTTTTAGATTCAAAGAAAAATAGAATGGTTCAAAAAAGGGTATATCAGATTTCCATATACGTAGTCTATATGTACCTTATACAGAATGCAAACCTGAAGCTACCGCTCAAAATAAAATTAAACATTTGTGGGATAAGACTCTTGTATACCCCAGTCATACCCATGAGACCGACACCAGACCGACGACAGACCGATCAAACAATTACATTACCTCCAATGGTAAAGAATGGGTCAGTCTGGAGTCGGTTTGACTAAAAGATATAAGAGATATCGTCTGTTTTGAGCCAGAAGGGTGTTAATTTTACATAATATAACACATACTTAATGCCCTTCAAATTCTAGTGTCAATATTTGGAATGATTTGGATGAAGCATACAATTTATCAACGTATAGTTTAATCTGTCTAGGTGTACTTAGGAAGGACACATGACGAAGACATCATCTTCCCGCTTTTACATTTGTTGATGACTCCAAGTATTCTGGTGTAAGAAATGGTGTATCAAAAGAGAATTGAAACCATCCTTAATCATGGAAGAACTGATCAGAATAATTTCTAGAATACAGATGTGTATTTGACCCTCCAGCACCACATAACTGCTAAAAACACTTATCCCTTTTAAAGAAATTCATTTCGTAATTCTCAAAAATAAGGAATACATCACCATGTGTGTTAAAATCTTGTTTGAAAAAACTTTTTATAATGTTTCTCACCTGCTTGCTCTTTAAATATTCTTGATACTAAGATGGGTATATTGTGCTCTGCTCCACCCTATACATGGATAGAAGAAAAGACAAGAGAGAGAGAGAGAGAGAGAGAGAGAGGGGGGGGGGGGGGATAACAAGGAAAAATGTAGAGGGAAGGGGGGGGGATAAATAAAACTTCAGATTAATCATACAATATAAAAGTCAATGCACCTACACAAAATAATACAATTTCAATGTGATTGAATGACTGTGCTATGTACATGTAAGTGATACTAACCGATAATTCTGAACAGGCAAATCTTCATTTTTTGCAATAATCAAATAAAAGGAAATATACACCATTCTGCATACAGTCGGCAAGCAAGGCAACAATCTGAAAATCAGGAGTTGCTATTTTGTCTTTCTAACGCAGCTTTTCCGTTCACTGAGGAAAAAGTGTAACTTTGCGACATGCAACTTGCAATTGTATACCCCGTATGACATTTTAAATGGGACGCCGATTAAATGTTTCAGCTAGAGTTACGCTCATGGCTTCTTAAAGCCTTTGAATGCTGGCTGAAAGGCAATTGCTTGCCATTGCTGCTTAGAATCAAAGCTTTGAAACCAAATTTAAAGGTAGAATCAGGAATCTTGTTGGAAGATCACTCCCATTTGCAAGAAATTTGGTTTTTATTTGATACTTTCTTGATATACCATTGTGCCACTAACATCTGCTGACAACCGAAGGAGAATTACCTGTTATAATTTCACATAGACTTAATGCCCTCCTGAATGTCACAAGATGATGATATTCTGAAGCTTTAAGTGTCTGGTAGTTGTATATCACAATCACAAAAGAAATATTCCACAGACCTCCCCCCCCCCCCACCCGCCCCCCCCCCAAAAAAAAAAATGGGGGGGGGGGGGGGTGAAAACCCCTCTTCCAACAAGAAGGAACCTTCCTCATAACACACAAACAAGGCTCGAACAAGGCTTAAAACTCTTAGTATTATTTATTCTTTTCAATATTTCATCATCTTAACCGGTTCCTACAGTGACTACTGGAAAGCCACATGTATCATCCTCTCATTATTTCTCCTTGGACTAAATCACAACTAAAATCTATAATTCTCCACCTCTCCATCTCGCAAATACACTGATCATGAGGATTTTGTAAAGGATTGATTTTGGCACTTGTTCGAACGGGAGAATTTATCTTTAAAATATCAAGTACACCTGTAGTGTTTACATTTGACCAAAGGCTTCCTCCTAATATTTACAGAAGGACTATTACCAGCGCATTTATTCCAAATCCACTGTCATATATCGCAGCCAAGAAAATTGGTTCTACAGGAAAAGAGAGTGAGAGAACGAGCAGGAGAGAAAAAAGAAGAGAAAGAAAAAGAGAGAGAAAGAGAGAGAGAGAGAGAGAGAGAAAGAAAGACAGAGAAAGACAGAGAAAGACAGAGAAATACAGATAAAGAGAGAGAAAGAAGAAAGATAGTATGAGAGATAGATAGCCAGATACAGCTAGAGAGAGAAAGGAGGGGGGGGGGGGGGAGATAGCCACAGAGAGAGAGAGAGAGAGAGGAAAACTCATGAGAAAGACTTTACAAATATTGATCTAAACAACAGATAGGGCAGAGGGAAAAGGAGAGGGAAAGGAAAAGGAAGAGAGAGGGAGAGGAGGGGGGGGGGGGGGGGGGGGAATAGGAGAGAAATTTCCTCTACCCAACCTACTGTAATGTTATGATTCAACTGTTTCGCAGCATGAAATTTTCTTGGATCTGAACCACTCACAAAATTTCAATTCATACACAGGAAAGTTTCTGTTTTTAGCTCATAATGTAAAGTCACCATCGGCCAGGTCATTGTGACATATTTAAAGAGAATTGCGCTCATCAAAGCAGATCTCTGTATGTGACACTTTGATCCCTATACACAAACACCCATCCCATCATGGGAGCTTTCCATGTCATCTCTGTTACTCATCCCCTTTCTCAAGAACTACCGGTAGTCGCATCCCAAGCAAATCTTTTTCATTTCTAGATCATGGAACCTGTCCTAGATTGTACAGCACAAATAGATTTTGATATGTTTTTTTTTTTATCAATGTGAAGGCAGTGCACTTTAATACATAACCACTAGTCTGATGTCTAGATACTTGGTTGTTTTGTTACTCTACTCCTAAAGGAGATGAATCGAACATTGTTATCTTTTCATAAATCGATTTTCATGTATCCAGAGTAATGGTGCAAATCCACATGATGGCGGTCTCCTGCATTTTCTGTAATTTATCTTTCTTTTTTTTTCATTGAAATTATATTTGTGTTTGTATGCATCTTATTCAATGTACTTAAAAATGTATAATTATGTAACTGAAGAAATATTTGTTACTTTATATATATGATTATGTTTCATTTTGAAAATGCAGAAATAAAAACAAACAAACACAAAAGAATCCCTCTATTCTTGTTTTGGCTTCTACGAATCTCTTCTGGCAAATGCTTAACAAAGGGATTACCAGAACATTTCTCCAAAGTCCAAACATCATTATACTATTAGAGGTATTTAAATGAAAATCCTTTGGTCATTAGATATTAAAATCACAGCAAAGCTGCCTGAACATAAGATGTATTTGAAAAGAAAATCCGGAGAGCGTGTTGCTGCACTGAAAATGGAAAATACTCCCAACCGACTTCCAGGTAGGCTAACATGAATAGCCCTTCCTCATCTATGACTGATCTCTGTTCACTTTCAGCAAAGCTACTGGTCTATCATAAACAAACAGGTAGACATGATCCTGATTCCACCGATAGTCAGAGCTCGGACACAGAAGGACATTAAACTCAAATGAGTTTACAGAGAGTTAACGTCCTTCTGGCTCTCAGCAGAAGATATCATCCTATCACGCTGGTGATGCACTCTACAGGCCTGTTTTCATCAGCTCGAGATTGCCAAATAGCCCACTATTTCTGATTTGGGAAATAATCCCAAAGTAACAAATCGTGTCTCCATCAGCTCGACAAATAGCGGTATATTTTGCAAACTTGCCCAAGATATCTTGGGATGATTATCTCGACCAAATATCCCGCTAATTGCAACTTCGGGCTGTTGAAGACACAAATTAACTAGATAATTTGCGATTGGGATAGTTCAAATAGTGGGATATTTGGCAATCTCGAGCTGATGAAGACAGGCCTAAAGAAAACGAATGTCATCCTCCTGCGTGTTTTGGTAAGCTCCTCCTCAGATGAAGGTATGAACTGGTATCAAACGCTGATGCAGGCAATTCCATCCTTTATCCCAAACAAGAGTAGAAATGAGAGTCCTGTTTTCCAGGGGTTTTTTTTCTCAGCAAGAAATCAATCTAAAATTTCATCTTTCTATATCTCATCAAAACAAGAGGGCTGAATGTCATGTATACCTAGATCATGTTGTGATATGCGAGATTACTGGCAAGAGCACAAATGTATAAGATAAATTGATATACATATTTTTTCCAGCTATCAAAAGAGATAAACAACCATTTAGAGCAAGCATTTATCATGCCATTTAGATGAAACACTGTAAAAATTGCTTACCTTTATACTGAGTCCAAGGCCCCCAACCCTTTGTCTTCTTATTGTAATAACTCTCTCCTAAAAGGGGAAAATAAAGCAAAAACAGTACAAAAAACATTACTTGAAGAAACCAGAAGTATCAGGCAACAGAAGAATTGTACTATTCTGTAGGCTCTATTTAAAGATTATTGGTATTGGAATACAAATGAAATACATTTTTGAGAATGATAAAGATGTTCCTTCATGAAACTTTTATCATTTTTTCCAATAAAGGTTAAATACAAAATATTGATATGCCTTGCTTGGTTCAACTTCCTTGATTAATTCGGGTAATACAAAATTCTTTCTGATTTAATTCTGGACAGAAATCTCTCACTCTCTTTTTCTCCTATTGTCTTTGCTTTCCAAACAATTTAGCCTAATGCTGATTCATTGCATCTTTCATGATAGTAAAAAAGACAAACTACATTTTGCCTGGAAACTGAAGCGTTTTTCTTATAAAGTAAACAATAAATCTAACTTACCCTTGCGGAGTCCACTTCTGTTCCATTTGTCTAAATAATAAATGAAGAGAGAAGAAGAGAATGTCAAAGGATATTCAGTGGGGGAACTGGTATCTAAAAAAAAAGATAATGTGGATTGTGCTTCTTTTAAAGATGAAGTTGAGTTCTGGCCATGTGATTGCATTGTGAAAGAAACTGTGTGGAATCGATCAGAAAAGGTTGATCATCTAGCATATAAGTATTGGTGTGTAGTACTGCAAGGTTCTGGAATCATCAAAATGATAAGAAATTTGGCCAAATCTTGGCAAAGTTACAAGCACTGTACACAGAATGAGGTATATGGGACTACACAAACATGTGGCATAAAAATTCTACCCTGTATTTTTACGATGTTACATGACATTTTAGAATATGAAGGCATTTGAAGAGCCATGCTTTTCAGGGAATATGTCTTATCTGATGTTCTTCCACACTTGCATAATAAGAATGATAATGCTCACAAATTATTTTTCACCTCTTCCCAGAACTCAACCTTCTCTTTAAGTACTCTGTTGGATAGCATTATCAAGAAAAGTATTGAAAACAAGTTGAGAATCACACATAAAACAAGTTGTAATTACGTAATACACCTGTCGTTAGTTTCATTTATTTTCAATTTGCTTTTTGCTTTCAAGGAAATAAATGATGCTGCCCACAACAGTTAAGACTGGTTTTAAAACATGTTTTCTTCTGGTATTCTGGGCCAATGGTTAGGAAACGTCACTTAAAGAAAAAACCTACTGCTATGTCATTCTGACTTATTCATCTTCACATCCAAGGTCACACTTCTGCTTGTTGACACCTATATCAAACGCACCTGTTCCCAAATCGACTATGCCTGCAGATACACTGCAAATAAAATCTACTGCATCACAATATACCCAGTAGATAGTATCTACTAGTTTATGAGAACATGATATCATACCATTGATCGATCAACAGTATGCTAATAAAGTGTGAAAGTAATTAATGAATTTCTTCTCTGCACCTGCTTTCATGCCTTTAACAATAGACACTTGATGAAAGGTCTAGTGGTAATTGATGACATGAATGTCAAATTAAGTGGCAATACGTGAGTGAAAGCATGAAACATGTTATGAACTCTGGATATCCGCATCATATAATGGAAAGCAATTTCTGAACAACTCCACATGGGTCTTCACGGATAGTGCATTTTCTGTTTGGACACAGAATGGTATTTTAACAGATATAAGGTCATTTTGGCTCCGGACATACATTATTAAACGCCTGCTGTCAGCAATCATGTCAAAACAAACTTTCGAACAACCTAGTCATTTTCATCTTCCCCAATTTCATCCAAGCTACTCTACACAGGGTTACCAGAGGACATTCACCAACAAAAAATTGCTGGAAGATGCAAATGTTACTAATCCTCAAAATTGGATGAAGAGGCATCTAAAACAGCTGCTTGGTAGCGACCAGGATGGCCTAAATACAATTAGCTACATGTAGCTGAGAGAGAGAGAGAGAGAATGATTCCATCCTTAGGGTCACCCTGTAAATGGGACTTAATGGAATCAAAGATGAATTGTAACTGGGCTGATTTGTAGAAGGCACGGAGGAAGAACAGAGAGGCGGGATCGAAGAAGGTGTTTTCCCATTATCTCAGGATAACAACTCTTGGTCATGAGATCTACCAATCAATTTAATTAAGGGTTCTAGACTGTTTCATGAAACCGTTTAATCAATAACAAGCGTTAAATATCTAAAACAAATTTGCTCACAGACAATAAAATTCACTGATTTCAATAGCATATAAACAGTTATAGCAACTTGTTATCAATAAAAAAAAAAGTGTTAACATATCTATAACAAATTTGCTCTCAGCCAATCAAATGAACTGATTTTAATAGCTCTTGCAGTTATCTACAATGTAGCTTGTTATTGGTTAAAAGTTTTATGAACAGGGCTTTGCTCTCACTCTAAGCATAAGAATGCTGGAATGCAAATTACAGGAAATCAAAGGCAAATTATGAGATAAATTTAAGATGTTGATGGACATAATGTTCAAATTGGCAAACCCCAACTCGCTAGGGAGAAATGTAGTTTTTATTTTATCTATCAATCTTTTATTAATCTATATTTTTATGAATTAAACTGATAGACAGTAGAATGAGAGAGAGAGAGAGGGAGAGGGAGGAGAGAGAGAGAGAGAGAGAGAGAGAGAGAGAGAGAGAGAGAGAGAGAGAGAGAGAGAGAGAGAGAGAGAGAGAGAGAGAGAGAGAGAGAGAGAGAGAGAGAGAGAGAGAGAGAGAAGAGAGAGAGAGAGAGAGAGAGAGAGAGAGAGAGAGAGAGAGAGAGAGAGAGAGAGAGAGAGAGAGAGAGAGAGAGAGAGAGAGAGAGAGAGAGAGAGAGGAATGGAAAGAGAGTACTCCGTAGTACATTACACTGTCAATCCAAATCCATATTCAACCATAACTAGAGCATACATGGCTTTGGGCATGATGTGGTTTAAGACCTCATTCCAACGACACTCACATTTCAAAATCCTACATATTCCACACTGATTTTAAAAAAAAAATAATACGCAAACAACTGTCTGCATATCCATAATTGTAATGCCCAAAATGAAGCTGCACCCCCCCCCCCTTCCAAAAAAAAAGTACCAAGGTTTTGGACAATAATCACACCTCACATTGAGTAACTGGGGGTGATGTTCACTGTTCAGACCTGAATGTCACATGATTTCCCTGGCATAATTTTGGTTTTAAAAAAACACACACTTAAGAAATAACGTTAATAATGTTAAAATTTCGACACATTTTGTTTAAAACTCTCCTCATAATGATATAACATCCCCAAAACTCTTGATGAAAGTATCCTAAAAAGTATTTGAATGAGATTTGCTTGTCTGAGTGACATCACACACAAAAACACCACCATAAATAGGTTATCCATAGTCTGTAAGCCATACATGGATCTGGAAACGCCTTTGGACTGTTTACAGTGAGCTTTCTGTCCCCTGTTCCACTTCCATGAAGTAAAATAGGATCTTCCTCTTCTATGCACACTCAAAGAGTATTTGAACACTTTAGGGGAGGGTTAAATTAGAAACTGACAACACTGAAAACACTACAGGACATTTCTGAAAGAAAGAGAGAGAAAACAATGAAATATGGTAAAGAAAGGGAACACAGCGCGGCACTCAAAGAAGAAAACCCCAAAATATCAATAAGAGCTCGGCCGTAATCTGTGCGCCCCATTTCCCCCAAGGCCCTGAAATAGTTTTGCGACTAGGTAGAACATTGCCGACAGCCTGGGTTTGCATGGATTGTGCTGGTATGAAAGTGCAATTACGTGGGATCTTTTCTTGAAAGGGATGGCGGAGATTTGTTTGAAATAAGGCATTTAGCTCCAGGTTATTGAACTTCAGATGGAGTAATGACTCAGAAGTGATCTGGTTTCTACACCCTTTTATTTTTAACATGCAGAGTTTGCTTTGAAGCATTTTCAGAAAATAATACAGGCTAGGTTCGCAGTATTATCTGGGGGCTGTGTGTATGTATTCGTAAGACAACGATGGGTCTTTATTCTTAGTTATCCACATACTGGTAACTGTTGGTATAATGACTTACATATTTGAAGTTTTGATCTTTGATATTTAAACATTGTTACAGGTTACTCTATTTCTGGCAATTAATTGAATAAGAAAATATTTATGAATGAACCCCTACCCCCCCCCCCCCCAAAAAAAAAAAAAAAAAAAAAAAAAAACCCACCTCACTTTCCATCTTTAAACAAGAAAGCAATGACAGGTACCATTACAAAGCTTTATTTTTTTAAATTTTTTAATACATTGCCACCTCCTAAATTCTATTTAAACTTAGATTTAAGTGAAAGATGGGACATAATGAACTACAAAACAAATGTCCAGATCTTTCCAACATTAAAGTTTGTTTCTATATTACTTTAATTAATAAAGATTTGTTTTCAAATTGTTATCATTCAAAGTGAATTCGGCAAACCACATCATCCACTTTCACATTAGTGCTCGATGGACAAATGGTTCTGTGACACATCTTCCAGTGACCCTGCAGTCAATATCCTACACTGACCGTATTCTTAACTTCAACCCTGGACCCAGCACCATACCTAATAACATCAAAGATCAAACAAATTGGTACTTGAGGTCTAAGATGTTCGCTTGGTCTTGATTAATTTTACAGGGGAGGGAGGAGTAGCATGGAAACGAACAACAAATTTCTCAAATTCATATTTCAGGTTACTGAACCGATGGCAAAGATACACATCTAAATTGTCATTATTGGCATTTCTTCATGTCCGTCTTGGGAGCATACTGCCATGCATGAGAATGAGACCATTACGTCTGCCTTCTGAAAAATATAATGCAATTCTTATTCCATAAAAAACATGGATGATAGTGAGCATCTGAAGAAACAGTGATTTGCATTTGATTGCAAGAAGGGGGGGGGGGGGGGTCCTGCACTTTTTCCTTTATAGCATTTCAAATTTCATGAGTTTATTATTAGTGTTTTCCCTCAAGTAATCCTTTAAAATATCATGACCCCTATATACCCTTTGTTCAAGGTCTAAGTATGGTTTACCGGTATATCCTTGCAAAGATGGTGGCTTTGTTCCCACTTTCATCAGTTTTCAATTGTTTATCATAGCTGAACAATAGTGGAACTAAACTAGATACATGGGCATCTCGGAATATTTGATTGTTTGCCTGGCTCCATGATTACAAAAAAAACATACTGGAAAAAATTGTTTATGCATGCTTCAGTTAAAGGCAACCAATTTCAGTAATGTCGATACTAGATTATGTTCAATTAAAATTTCCATTTTGTTTATAGGGCATTGCAAGGTTTATTCCTTTCTGTTTTAGGTGTTAAGAAACAAACCCAAATAAAATTGCTATTCTTCTTGCTGAAGAATTTCAAAAAGTTAAACGCTATATCCACATCTTCCTAAGATAAAACGTTAAAGGTAAAGACCAGTGTTGGAAACGCCCCAATTTCAAAAAAATGAAATGAAAGCTCTTATTACCAATCATGTGAAAGAATATGTTTTGACTAATACATGATGATAAAATTTTTTGCCAGGAAACTAATTGATACATTTGATAAATTAGTTTATCTATTGGGATGTGATAGATAAAACGCATGTGTTGCGCACGTGCGCGTAGTCCCCTATATACATCTTTCTGTGTACAGTGCTTGTAACTTTACCAAGACTGGGCCAAATTTCTTATCATTTTGATGATTCCAGAACCTTGCAGTACACAGATGATCAACCTTTTCTGATCGATTCCACAACATTTCTTTCGCAATGCAATCGCATGACCAGAACTAATCTTTATCTTTAAGGCAAGGCTCCACTCTAACTTTTTCCGGAAGGGGTCCAGAATAAAATTTTAAAGTCTGTATGCACGAGCCCTATGTAAATAAATTCAGCATTTGGGGGTTCGGACTTAAAATGTTGGTGCCCATGTGTCCAGGTGCCCATATGTCAGGGCGCCTGTTAGTGTTGAGCCCTGCTTAAGGTATTACAGATATAAAATGGCTTAAATGCAGTCCTATATATAGCTTTCAGATATTCGAATGCTAATGCTGGAGACTGTTCAATAAGTAATTTAAATTATCTTTCACTATTTTGTTACAATATTTAAAAAAATCATTAAGCTGGTAAGCATTACAATCTGGGACAGTATTCTGAAAACTGTGTTGTAAATCGTAAGGAAAAACTACTTATTATTGGTGCTCATGCAGATCTGTCTCTCATAATTGTACGTACATGCGTGACCTTCAACATGCACTTCTAGAAATTCTAGTATCAGATGAAACTGATGATTAAGAAAGGTTAATTTGAACATTAAAAGAGAATAAATCGCTATTAAAGATTCATCAGTTGTGATACTCAACCCACGTACTATAAAGCGGGCCTTAATCCAAACATTCTGGATGCTTATGTCGCCTTTAGCTCTAACCTCTAATTGCCCATTCCCATTAGCCGCATTCCCATCAATTAAAGGTGCTGTGATATCTGTTTGGGGAGTCCTCTTATCACAGTCTCATTATTCAGTCTTTTAAGTCAAACTGGAGACTGCATGTATCACTATGAACATGACAGACAAAGAAAGCGGACAAAATATACAGTTCCTCAGGTAGACAAAGGAACATCCTTTCACTGCTATTATGTAAAAAGGTGAATATGCATGTGACACCTGTTCTACAAATTTTTACATAATAGCAGTGAAGGATGTTCCTTTGTCTACCTGAGGAACTGTATATTTTGTCCGCTTTCTTTGTCAGTCATGTTCATAGTGTATATCATTCACATGAATGATAATACATTATTTTTATATAACAAATTCCATGAATACTAATTTTGTTGACATGTTTATCATCAATAACCAAGAAAATAACACAGAAAATGTCACTGAAGCAACTGTAGATCGAAGCACCAATAATAATCTTCTCTGAACCTGACAACTATGTGATGACTCTCTTGCATTACAAATCATCTAGGGGTGCCACAATGGTGTTAACTCATATACTTTTACCAGTGAAAAAAATAAACGGGGGCTCGAGGCGAATTTGCCCCCGACACGCCAAAAAGAGCCCCCGAAAGTCATAAAAGAGCCAACAAAAATTTGCATAGAGTTCAATGCAAAACAAATTAAAGAGTGTAATTTAAATGCAATCAAGCTTGAAAAGTAGCCCCCGAAAATTTTAAAATAATTGTTTCCCTGACTTTTACACAGAATCCCCACCTTTGTGGTTCCAAACAGATAAAACGATGAAGTAACAAAAGAGAAGTCTACAGATAGAGACTAGCTTGTAAACAGTATGTGCTCTCTTGCTCAGTGAAAGGGCAAGAACAAGTCAAGAGGGTCTCAAATCACAGCTCTACCGATTTAATTCAAGCAGGGAGATGTGAGTTTTATTCGTGAGGTATCAATCGTTAACCCCTTGTCTTATCAAATCATGTGTTCATTCCAATTGCTCAAGGACAGCTGGACTAAACATTAAAGGTTTCTTGTTTAGTTTCAAAATGTTACAGTGAAAGAATAAAGAAGGAAACCTCTGTGAAATATTTCTGACAACAATTAAATTTGTAAATAGTAATAAAAAGTTACACTTCCCTCAACTGCAAAAGGCAGTTCAAACTAGGATGTACTGTACTACAAAAAAGGGTCAACAGAATTTCGTTTCATATGCATTTTTCACCATTTTTTAATACCATAATTTTAAGATTTTTATCCAGTGACTATATTGACAGTCAGGAGAAGGACCTGTAAAAAAAAACTGTATGAATAGTGAAACATGCCATATACCACATGAAAAACACAGCTAATACTCAAAATAACTTTCTCTATAATAGAAATGCAGTGTCATTCTGCAAATGCATGTTGCTTTGCAGATAGCCTGAGAGGAGCTGAAAAAAAGTTGAATTTCACAGAGTTTGATGATACCAGAAAGTGAACCGTTTCCATGGTGAAACAAGAGGAACCTGATTTAACCCTCATGCAATGCGCAAGGTGATGAAGATTGACCACAGATGGCTCTTCTTACGGCTGACCACCGCTTCACCGTGCAGCTGTATTTTCCTTGCCGATGCATTACCAAGGCGGTTGTATCAATGTCAACTACATTTACAATGCCTAGTAGATGTCAAATAATGCCAACTAGATACCTGTAGCATATTGTGCATGTGTTTAACATGAGCAGAGGAAGCTGTATTTCTGGTTCAAATTATTTCTTTAATATGTCATATGCAGATCAAGAAAAATATCCAAATCCCTACATCCTTACTCAAATTTTGTTTGCTCTGTTTCTCTTGTTTTTCTGCATCTAATAATGCAAATTATTTTAGGAGTGGACTTAGCATTTAAGCCCTCAATGAAGGACTTGGTAATGAGGGACCTCCCGATAACAAGACCACTGCTCTACCACTGAGCAATTTTGCTTCCTGTATCAAAGTTATGGCCTTTTGGATCTCATGAGACATGCATAAAATTGAAATAAAGAGAACTTGAGTTTGGACTCACTTCATGACCGCCATTTGGATCTACGGGGTTGACTACAAATGTCTCTTCTTTCTGGAGGATGATGGTTTCTGTTGAGAGTTGGACGCGGACTCGCTGGGCATTCTTGGGACCGTTACAGATGCTCAGGAACCCTGTCTTCACCTGCAATTACAGATTAAAAAAATAAAAAATGTCTGAATTAAAATTATGATGATGATGGTTATGATAACACAAGTAAGGACAACAACAACAATAAAATAATATAACAATATTTGATGATGATTACACAAATAAAGACAACGACAACAATAAAATAATATAACAATAAATGACGACGACGATGACGACGACGACGAAAACGATGATGATGATATTAATAACAATAAAAACAATAGCATTAATTATTCACTTATAATAATACAGGTATTCATGTAACTCGTGAGGTAGATATGAGCACTGTTAAAGTATCAAATTGTATTATTTTTATTATAACAAGAAGAAACAAAAAATCCTCTAATTGCTTTCTCCATAAACCCGACCACAAAGCTATTCTTCATCCATGATGTAAAGAGCTAAAGCCTCACACAATCATGCTGATTGTTGATTGGTGCAAAGGAAAGTTTCAACCGGAAAAAATAAATCCATCTGCAATGCATAATATGGACTTAAATACCTGGGAATTATCAGAGGAAAAAAGTTACCCTGGAATGGGATCTGGGGAGGCATTGCCAAGCTGACTCTCTCCAAAGTAAATGTGATTATATCAAGTATCGTAATTATGTGGCATGAAAAATCTCTTGTTTTGTACAAAAGACGAGGTTCATAGAAGTGAGCGGAAAGTACATTGCTATTATACACTGGGGCAAATTGTTGGATGAGGACAAGAAGGCTGCTACTGCCATTGTCAACACATCATCGCTGTTTTCACGAAGTGACGGTAGTGAGGAAAATCGTCACGAAAAGTGAATGCAATTTTGTTTCACTACCGTCACTTCGTGAAAACAGCGACGATCATGGCTCTTACAATCTTTATGCAGGCAGCCGAGGAAATGCATGCTACTCATTAATTATGAAGAGGCATGTCCCCATGAAAATAATTAATTTGTACTCTATTCATACTTTCTGTAATTGATCGTCTCCCTCATAGGGCACGCATTATGCGCACTAATCATGTAGAATTGTACATGTACGTGCATTATTAACAAGAAATAATATCTAAAATAGAATACAGTAGATAGGTTCAACTCCCACTCAGTCCTAGAGAAAAAGCTGTAGGCCCTGTCATCTACAAGTAGTGTTCAGATGGGATGACTTAAATTTCATTGAATATCCATAACTTGACAAATGTAGCAGAATATAAAGTATAGTTACATATATATGCATCTACCAGTACAATTCATTTGAGGGAACTGAACTACACTAAAATGCAAAAATATATTTACATGTGTGTTTAGAAGATTGTTTAATAATAAGAATAAAAATATAATTATTTTCTATATGCATGTTCAAAATTCAAATGTGCTTTACAATTATGTTGTTAACAGAAAAGATAAGTTGTGAGATATTTTTTAAAGATATTGAGAGATTGCTGGTTGCAAAAAAAATCTGGAAAGGTTATTCCACAATATGGGAGCAGCAGTTGTGAATATCTATCAACAAATATGCAAATATTTCCCCAGTCAAAATAGAGCCTCTGCTTGCAAAGGACAGAAAATAACACAATGCTTGCTTATGAACCATAAAACATGGTTGACTTTATAGTAAACACAACCTCCTCCCCCCCCCCCCCTGCATTATACCACAGAGTAGGTCCATGATTATACTAGGCACTGATCAGATAATGGGGAAATACAGTATTATATGGCACAAATTACCAGAAGTAGGTCATAAAAGAGAATAAATACTAGATAATTGATCAATCAAGTCATAAATTCCACAAGCTGTAAATGGTAGGGCTATTCTGTATCTTTATTTGATAATGGCTTAAACTGGCCCATTTCGATGGAGGGAATGAGCCCATTGGGATATGTGATAGGCAGTCTTTGGATCTTTTTAAAGGATCGTTTAACAACTTTAAAGCTTCAAAATGATCAAGAAGTGCCTCAAGACAGTAAAACCTTTGCGGGACCGGTTTTACCAGACTCGTTTTCCCCAATACACTGTAGTGTTATTAAAACCGTTTGGCAAACTTTGTCATAAATATCTGGATAATCTAGCTGACAGGCGATCGGCTTGTAAAAGTCATGGGGTTCCTGACTGACCTAAAGGTTTATAATTATCATTGCAGCATGAGCTAAATCAAGGATTTTTTAAAAGGATCTAAGACAAATTTACCGGATCCCTTAAAACCGGGAATGTACTGGCATGATTAATGATAATAACAAACTTGTGAATATACAGGTGTAGTCATGGTGCTGAAAATACAATTAAAATGTAGTCATGAAGCTGTATGGGGACCAAATAACATTGCAATTAACAAGAATATATAGTTTAGCCCCCCCCCCCCCCCTCCCCCTCCATAAATCAAAAAAATTACTTTTAAATACAACTTCTTTTCTAAATTTAGTTTAGCTTCATACCTACACCTGTACATGTACATGTATGTTTCCATAAAAACCAACTTGAAGATTTTCATTCAATTCAAATTCAAATTCACATTTATTCGGCAAAAGATAAAAACATCAAAATGAAATCATTACAAATGAAATCATTATAAATAAATACCGGGATTGCTAAAATAAGTTAAAAACTTGTAAACAAGCAACCCCAAACATAAAAACAAGATGAAATACGATACAATACAATACAATACAATACAATAATAATAATGTTTCATGCTAACAAAATGTATGAGTCAATTATGTATTTCAATAAATCAATAAGTGGCAAGTATTGTTCTTTTCAGTTTAAGTTTAAATGCGTTCTGGTTCTTAATACCCTTTAAATAACTTGACATGGAGTTCCATTTGTGAGGACCTTGATATCTAATTGATTTATTTTGCAAAAATGAGTTAGTGAATTTTGGTAGATGGAAGTCTTTTTTTTTTTCTTGTATTAAAGGAGTGGACATCCGAGTTCAAATGAAAACTGTCATAAAACGTTACTGGTAGTAAATTATTTTGGAGTTTGTACATAAATAATAAAGTCCGTTGAGAAAGAATATCTGGAAGTTTGAGTAAATTTAAGGATTTAAATAATGAAGAGGTGTGCGCCCTGAATGAAGCATTGCAGCACAACCGAACAGCCCGCTTTTGAAGTATGATAAGGGGCTTTAATAAATTATTAAACGTTCTCGCCCAAACTAAATTACAGTACGTTAAGTAAGGATATATGAGAGTGTAGTAAAGAGAAAGCATGGTAGAGGATGGTAGAAAACTTTTGAGCTTATTCATTACACCGACTTGGGACCGAATCTTCCTGGAAATTAATTCAATGTGTTTTGCCCATGTAAGTTTGTTGTCAATGGCAACTCCTAAAAAATTGGCAAATTGTACCTGGTCAATACAGTTACCATCTATTGTCAGATTAACATTTTCAATTAAGTATCATTTTTTTTTACCAAAGTTAAATATCATGAACTTTGTTTTGGTCTGATTAATTTTTAATTTATTTGATGAAAACCAGCTAGCAACCTTTTGAAGTTCAACATTGGCTTCGAAAATTAAGTCTTTCAAATTTTTACCAGAATAGAAGATGTTTGTGTCATCGGCATACAGTACATAATGTAATTTCCTTGAAGACTCAACTATGTCATTTATGAAGAGCAAAAATAATAACGGGCCCAAGATACTACCTTGAGGAACACCTTGCTTCATTAATAGCAATTCAGAGTCAGATTCATTATAATTTACAAATTGTGTTCTATTAGACAGATAACTTTGGAACCATTCCAATGGAATGCCTCTAATTCCATAAAAACTTAATTTTCTTAATAAGATTTTGTGATCCAAACAATCGAATGCCTTGCTAAGGTCTACATACACTCCTAAAGCTATCTCTTTTTTTTCATAAAACTTGTACAAAAGTTCGGATGCAAAAATTAAAGCTGACTCTGTTGAATAACATTTTCGAAACCCAACATACATCATGATTTTAAAAAACACATCATTGAAAGGATTTGTCTCACTAATGAGTGAGTATTAAAAAGAAAACAAAGCATGTTGATAAATCGAGGATATAACACACATGCAAAAAAAAACATAAACATAAAAATAACCACTGTAACTCTTTTATTGGACTATCCATTCAGATACAAAATGTTAATTACAACCAAATTTTCTGTACATACATATGTATACTTACCACAACCATTGTATTATTGTTTGCACAACATAAAAACATCTGATTGATAGGTCACAAATTAATTAACCTTGTATCAAAGCAGATTGAGTAAATTCACTTTCAAAGCAACCAAGTAAAAATAAAACATTGCTGAAGTATAAATATCGGTATAAATCCAGTCCGTCATCCAGTAGTGATTCACAGAGCAAGTGAATCCCAGCGGAAAAGCAAATACTTAATATCCACACCATGAAACCAAAGGCGTATTGTGGACGTTGTCAGATTTGAGACTATAAATGAAGGTTTTGGGTGCCTGGTCCACCCACATTCCTTCCCTATAGTCCAGACAACGTGTACATAAGCAAGACCTGGCCAGGGTTGATAAAGGACCTCAACTCAAACAAAATCATTTCATTCACCCTCCCTGTCAAATATCTCCACTACTGTCCTTCTGTATGAATGGCCTAATGAATAGGGCTGGACAAAAGAAGTAACTACTACTGTGGGGTGTGTCCACACTAGACACATAAAATGACTTGGAACACTTTCTTATTTATAGCCTGGTCAGACTGTAGGGACTTTATACCAAACTTTCATAAGGTCTAAAAAAAAAAGGGAAGATGGTGTATTGCCCTTTAGGTGCCAAAACATGGGACGGTCGGTAGGAAATCTTCTTATTTTTTAAAACTTTATTTTCTTTCTCTTTAGGCAGATGTTTCTCAGTTTGGAATGCTTTAATATTTTTTTTCTCTAAAAAACAGTAACAACATTTTTTTTCTTCAAAAGCCATATATTTCAAGATTTTTGGTGCGGTCCTAAAGAGCAATACAATATCCTTTTTAGGCCTAAAGAAATGTCATATTAACGAATCATAGTATAATGAAAACCACTTACAGACTAGAAAGCAACATTGTATAAAGAAACATATTTAAACAATTTTGACAAGTCAGTTGACATGATACATGTAGCTGGCCAATCATTAGTTCATGCTCACAATTAGCCCTGCTGAGTTTTATACAATTTTCTTTTTTTATCACATTCAGTGGGATCCTGATTTTCTATCAAGTTTTTGTTCAACACGATGCTCGAACGGGGGTTTCATTACACAACGTTTCATTACAGGATGTTTCTTTATATGATGTTCAGACTCAGAAAAATGTAATGAATTAATGAATCCTGGTCGTCTAAACGCAGGGTTAGACAAGCATTGAGAGGACAAAATTTTTTTAGACAATATGGGCAAATTCCATAGAAGCTCTGTCGATGGAAACACTACCCGAAAGCAAGTAGTTATGTTTACACACATGAACATTTCATTTCAGAGCATGCTTTTGTCCCCAAAATATAAGCTGGAATGATACTACTATGTAGATGGTTTCATTGGCTTAGAGACTTCGGTTGTAAGCGCTTTATAAGTAACATTTGTATTATTATTATTATTATTATTATTATTATTCAAAGTCAGTGTCTGACTCTTCATAACAACAATAGACACATTTTCTTACAAAAAAAAAATCTTTATTTGCTGTAAAATGTAAGAAAGTGTATCAGCTTTCCATCTTGTTTTTATTTTGAATGTTCTTAAGGTTTTGGTCACATGGGGATACTATAAAGGTATTGAAGTATTACATGAGTCTCATGTTTCTGATAGGAGTAAATAAAAATACACAACTTTGGTTCTCTCAACATTTAAATGCACCTGTAGTTTGAACAACTTGTTCACACCTTCCTAACATAATGCATGCAAACTATATATTTTCGCCCACTATTCATTAAATTCAAAGTGTAAACACAGTGATACAGAGGTAAAAATGGTAGACTGTTAAAGAAAGAGAGAGAGAGAGAGAGAGAGAGAGAGAGAGAGAGAGAAAGAGAGAAAGAGAGAAAGAGAGAAAGAGAGAAAGAGAGAGAGAGAGAGAGTGCGCGCAAACAGATCAAAACACAATCCTCAATTATCTTGTCAACTAAATACCAACCCCCAATTTTCTGAATAAATGGATCTTTTTAAATCCAGGAGATCAGTCTTTCCTCTCATAAAAGACTTTATAAACATTCCTTCGCCTTCTTTCATTTTGCCAACATCCTTCTTCTATTCAGGGGCAAACTTTGATGGATTTAATTGTGAAATAAGTGAATTCTTTTAACTTGTTTTTTAACGGATCAAGGATTTAAGAAGGGGGTAGCAGAAGGTAACAAAAAGCATGCTCACCTTTGTGAATGATTTTTATTTGGCACAAAATAAAAATAGGGACCAGTACCTGTTATTATGCAGCCCCTCTAAGTGTACATTTCTTGCTTTCTGAGGCTTTTATTCTATAGGACAGTTTCTAGCACGTTAACCCACAAATACGAGGCACAGTTAAATGATTAAATATAGAAATTTAAATGCTTTTCGCAACAGATTTTCTTAACCCTGTACTATTGCTAACCCTGTATTATCTTCAACCCTGGAATATTATGTTGCTCTTCACATGCAAACTTTTAGATTGTTATATTTACCTAATTTGGACCCTAGACGAATGAGGTAAGAAAATGTATGCTGTTCTCACTCAAAATTACTAGCTCCAGACTACTTGGATTCCTTGTGGATACTGCTTTGGCCTTCACTGCCATTCTAACCCTTCTCTATTTTGCTTTCTTAGCATCACTTTTTCACACTGGGGGCCCCCCAAAATGGTGCTATAACCCTGCCTTTTTTTAGGGCCAAATAATCATACACAATCAATGGGTCTAGCCCTTTTTGATAAAATTGATTTTTGTTTTTCTTTCTTCTCCCTGCAGTTATTTTTTTTGTCAAATCACCTCTTCAAAACATGTAACTATGTAATCAATTAGATATGGATTGTATGAAACAAACTGTTTTTCATCTCCCGACATTTCTCCCCCTCCATCATATATCACCTTCATATATTTATAGTTTCTCCCCTAAGGATATTGAAAACCTTTTAGTTTAATGACTTAACAAAACTCATTTGTGTAACAGCACATTCAAACAATCTACAATCAATCAAATTCAATCTAAAATGACAGATTGCTATAATAAGAAAATCACACTTCTTTATAGTTTCCTTCCAGCATGTAATCGTATTTCGCCAGACATCTGAGAATAGGTGGTGTATAAACCTAAATAAAATCTTTGTAAATGAAATATAAAATGTAAATATTTCCTGCGCTCAATCCTCAGATGCACACCAAACATATGACATGATCGATAGAATTTGCCTTACAATATCCCTTGGGTTGGCTGAAATTTGGTTCATTTCCTGAATTTGAAAAACTCTAAATTCCAACGTGGAATACATGGAGGGCCAAGGAATATCTTTGATAAATAAAACAACCTCTGATTCAAAGAAATTTGTTCAATCGAATTCATCACTTCCAATTGCTGACTTTTTTTTTTTTTTTTTTTTACTTCCTAGAAATAAAAGTAGGCATGCTAGCACATCCTTTGAATACTAAGAGGCACAAGACACCCAGCACTGATTGGTTTCTCAAGGGGGATTTGATACTATTCTGTTATTTACCCGATAATGGGTGTTATCAATCACCCTAGAGAACCTCCATGGACTTCACTTTCGCAAATGACAGGCCTTACATAATGCACCGTTACACCCTCGTTCTAAACCTGTGTTTAGACTACCACGATTCATTGTATAGCTATACGGTAAGTAATTATTTTTCAAATTCTGAATGTCATACAAAGAAATAATGTAGAACGAAACTTATGTTTGAGCATAATTTCAAACAGAAACCAGTATTATGCTCTAAACGTCATATCGTATGAAAAACAAAAATCGTGTAACTGGGCGGGGCTAATCATGAGTGCGCATTGATGATTAGCCAACTGTTATTGAGTCCTGACTATCATGTCAAATGGCCTCTTCAAAATTTGTTTCTTTATTGAATGTTTCTCTATACGATGTTGTTTTGTAGTCTTCATGCTCATTTCACTATACAAGGACTCTCTGTTTTTTAAACAAGTTCCATATAAATTTCCCTCAGTTCAAACAGTTTATGGTATATGAATCCTGGGCGGTGTTTCGCAAAGATCCTAAGTTGAACTTATCTCCAAGTTGGACTTAACAATTATGGAAAGCCATTAGCATCTTTGAAAATATTTTTGTAAAAGTTATTTTAGAAGACATATAATGTTGATTCAAATCATTCATATTTTCTATTATCAAGGAGATTTCATGTTCTTGATGTGGAATTTATAAAAAGTCTAACATATTTGATTTTTTGCTTTTGAATATTTTTTAGGCTACAAATGGCTTTTCATAATTTTTAAGTCCAACTCAGAGTTAAGTTCGACTTAACACCCCCAGATTCAGTCAACCCCTTTCTCTAGTCCTAACCACAAAATGCGATCTACATGTAGGCAAGTTGTGGGTTTAGTCAGGACTTCATGATTACTGGTGAAATGGAATGATGGATGAAAGATAGAGTAAGAGAACAGCTTTGCATCAATCAGGAAAAAACCCACAAACAACAAGATGAAAAATAGTCAAAAAGTGGGAGTTTGTTATCTGGAGCACTCAGAGACAAAATCCTGTAATTACCACTCCACATAAACCACATTTAATGGATACTTAACCAATTGCGACAGTTTTTGCATCATCAATCTTTCATAATTTTACGAGATTAAATATTAATCTACATGTGTGCCACACATCCTTGGTGAACCATTAAAAACTAGTGGATATGCATCATTTAGTCAGTAAATATGCAAAGATTTGGAGTGTAATGCTTCCCAAGAAACTTTTGATCTAAAAAGCTTCATAACATGTCCATGGTTTTTCCCCACCATTTTGAAAGCAATATTTCATGAAACTGAGATTAACTTTGTGCATTCAATTATCAGACATATTAATAATTGTACAAAACATGGTACGATTATAGCTTGACACTGTTACCTTTTGTTGTTACTGCAGTTATTCATATCTGAGAATTCTTCCTGAAATACAATCAATTTACATCTTATATCACCCTACTTCCTCCTCCTCAATAATCCTATCTTGAATTCAATACCTAGAATAATCAATAATTCAATACCTCAGATAACCAACATACAAACATCCCCTCACAATATATCTACTAACA